TATTAAGTTAATATCATTTCATTTCATCTAATATGTATGTCTATGTTATGTTTCTGTTTCTAAATGAACTGTATAGTTTGGCTATATGTCTATATACTGTACATATGAAAGTAATTCAAAACATTCCGTGTGGTTAGTATTAAAACCCAACAAATTCAAAACGTCTGTTGCGAGTTATTTCTCCAATCATCGCAGAGCCCCGTGATGGACAGAAGATAACTTACAATATACTTGCTTAAAGACCCCCGTGATGGACAGAACATAACTTACAATGTATTTGCCTGAAGAACACCATGATGGACAGAAGATAACTTGGAGCAGACGAGTTTTGTTTTCTCGTAATGTATATAACTAGTGTATTGTAATTTCTATGTCTTTATTACACACAATAAATATTGCCATTTCTAAGGTATGTATTTGTTATATTAACGAATTATGTTCATAATGCTGATAAATAAATGCAAATCAGTTTGTTTTTACTTGGATTTTTCTATTGTAACATAGTGGACGATGATTACTTTTAAGAATATCTCAATTTTGTTACTTAACCGGAATGTTTCTTGTATTTGCAAGCAATTTCATTTATAGCACATGTTTTCTTAATCTTACAAGGGGACTATCTTAAAAAGGTTTCAGTTTAAAAAGTAACATTTTCCTCTAGAACATTTCCAAAAGTGTTGAAAATCATAGATCAAAATTCCATGTGTATGACTACTATTAATCAGGATAGATTTTTTTTCCGGAAAATAGGCCAACATGGATACTAGAATAGCCGACAAAGAACTGTTGCTCTGGACCCTTACTAGTAGGATAAAATATATGTACAAGGACTTATGTTGAAGGGACTGTAATGTAAAATCACTGTTAAGAAATATCATGAAATGTAATATTTGTTTAGAAATGATGCAACAAAACGTAAACTTTCTCTTGATTACACTAATTAAAAGTACCAGTATACTTATGGATTGTTGGAAACAATCAAAATATGACCGTACGACCTGAAGCAAACTAACAANGGGGGGGGACATGGCAAAGCTATGCACTAAAATGCGTGATTATTTTAATTTCCAGTAAACCTCGTTAATTTTAAAATCATATTATGTTATCATACGATGAGACGTGACAAAGAAAGACGAGAAAGGTGAAAATCTTGACATAAGTGTCGTTGTTAACATTTAACTCGGAATCCAACTTTAGTTGTGACGGGCCAAGACGGAATTGCCACATTACGAACCAAGTTAACTTGAGGTAAACAAGCAATGCGTTGTATACAAACTCTAGCCTAGAAATACTGAGTTCCATTCACGTAAAAATATCCATATCCAGAATATATGTCCATATACAACACAGTTGATAGTATGGCTGATCATATCACTTTATTTTCAGTATAAATACTCTTTTATGACATTGATTCCCTGTTTCTTGAGTACGAAATATACGGCAATAGTCCCTTTAAAATCAAGATTGATTAGCTGATGTTACTCTAGATAGAACCTCCTTGTGTCTGATGTGGCTTTACTGATTTAAATTTTGGAACAGAAAAAGGAAAGATTGACTATTAAGACACTTCATTACATTAATGCTCTGCCTAAATAATACAAATTACGTTGATTTATTTTCGTACTTTTTTTTTACAGACATAGGCTTTCCGTATACCATTCTTGAATATTGATGCTTCCAGAATTTATTTGTTAAATGCATTTGATTGTTAGAAACGATATAAAGTGGCAGGAATGAGATATATTAAAGTGTAAGGATGTACTCCCCGGACAGAGATGGTCGAGCGATCGGCTTGCGTAATAACGCCTTTCTTTCCACGTGATATAGGGTCCACTATCATGGAATACGAATAAGGATCAGACGTGGGTGGAATGCAAAACTGCAATTTCCACATCAGTCAGATAAAGAACGAATTAAATTGAGAGGTCATATATAAACTAAGGTACTTTTTTCTTGAATTCATGTTATTAGAATTTCGAGGCAGTATGTAATTGGAATGTAAATATATCGGGAAGATGAAAAAAATATTGGATATAATTGATGACAATTGTCAGCAGTTGAGCGACATTTTTGAACCTCAATATTATATTCTACCATAATATTTTAACGATAGTTTAAATAATTTTATTCTACCATGTCAAAACAGTTTAGAAAGAGTATCAATTTACCTAATACATACACGCGAAATCACATATTTTCGGCTGTTCTATCGTACTTGTTAAATCGAGACTAGTTTTTACTTTGCTTAAAAACCAATGGCTGTACTCATTTTTAAATGTCAATGTCACTTTACATTAAGCTTCTAAAAAGCCAAGGATTGTATATTTTTGTATAAAAAAGGACAAAAGTTATCTCGAGCTTCTTAGAATTATTATGCACTTTTGATGTAATTTACCGAGGGTTGTCAGTTTTGTACCGACAAGGATTTCATGGGAAATGGTGACGTCATTGGAAATCCCTTAAGTGCATTTTTTATTGATATTTGTTCACGATTCCATGGTCTAACACATTACACATATGGTCTAATGGTAGAATATAATATCTATGACTGAAAAAAAGTGTCAAGATGTTTTTACTGAAACCTATCATAAAACACATAGCTCCCTCAAACAAGTCACTTACCGCTGTCAGCAGGATAGCAAATCAAGATAAAATGATCTATATCATAGACGCCTCTATAGATGTATTTATATAAAACAAATTGTTTTATATGACAGGACTACCAGACCATCCCTTTTTAAAAATTGATTTCGGTATAAAAGAGAATGAGTTCGTCATACTGAAGTTTTTTTCTATGGTCTTGACGTGCTCGGTCTGGTTGGTCAGTCAGTCATTTATAACCAAGACATAATAAAATTGCATCAACCTGTCGCAATTGTGTGTTCATCAATTCCAAACGGAAATGCAATACTAAAAGAAAGATACAACGCCTGAGGAGACGTCGAAAGAAAAAATAAAAATAATTATTGAATATCACAAAAAAAACCCACAAAAAAACATCATGTGGTTATGAACATTAATCGTTTCTGGCACAGTGTACTGTAAGGCGATCATGCTGTGAACTGCACTCAACCAAATACCATGACAACAACAGAAGGTGATAAAATACATATATGTGTTCGTGAATAAATATGATTTAGTTTTACAGGAGATATCTTGGTATACATCATTTTCCCCCCAATGGAATTACCTTAATACGCATTACTTTAAAATTTAGAAATACAGTCATGTTAAAGGTTTCCTTGAAACGTTGAAGTACACTTTCAATTCTGTTTTAAGTTTCAGAATGTATCATTGTTTCCTTGGTAGATGTCGACTGCTGACGAAAACAAATACAACACAGGATTTGGAGAGATGTTGATGAGGAATATTGAAGGTAGTGTAGTGGTAGGACGCCGGGCTGGTGACCTTAAGCTTGCGGGTTCGAGTCACGGCACGGCATTGTGATGTATCTTTGAGTAAAATATACTTTACTCCGCTTGTTCCAGTCTACTCAGCTGTAAATGAGTACGTGATTGGGAGTGCTAGCTGTGAGCGCCGAAATGGCAGCACCGGCTGTATGCTCCCCAGGGAGTTGAGAAAGATATTGGCTGGTTGCAAAGGCCCTATAACCACGGATAATAATTTGCGAGGTCGCCCAATGATCTAATTAGGAAACACTATATTTTCTTGTTAATTTGAGGATAGATGGTTATGAATCTGCTCACGAGTGTTTTCGTTTTCAATACTCCGGTACTCACTTTGTGGAAGTTATTTTATTTTGATGTGACCTAGATAAGCATGTCGGGTGTCGTCGATTACTTCGATGACCTAGATTAACATGACGCGTGTCGTCGATTACTTTGATGTGACCTAGATACGCATAGCAGGTGTCGTCGATTCCTTTGATGTGACCTAGCTAAACATGACGGGTGACGTCGATAACTTTGATGTGACCTAGATAAACATGACAGGTGTCGTCGATTACTTTGAGGTGACCTAGATAAACATGACAGGTGTCGTCAATTACTATTATATGACCTAGATAAACATGACGGGTGACGTCGATTACTTTGATGTGACCTAGATTGACATGACGGGTGTCGTCGATGTAGCCGAAGACTTTTATCCTTCCTTTGCTAATATTGTGCCATTTTTTTTTTTTTATCGATTATGAGTTCGAACTTAGGTTTTGTTGACACTTCGGTATTCACTTGATGATAGACGCTTCTGGTGACCAGCAAAGAAACTTATAATTCCGTTGAGAAAAAACAAAATCACAGTACAGAACAATGACCTGATATGTAACTACAACACAAGATTTCAGTGTCTACCATGATATACACTTGTAGTGTCTTGTAACTTTTATAACCTACACATGCTGTGTTTAACATCTGTAGGGGTTCATGGTGGCTTTCCTTTTGCTGGGGTATCTCCCGAATTTCGCAGTCGTTTGTCATTTTTTGTCATATATAGTTAACAAGTTATTTGTCAATTTATTTGAGTTAAAGTGTCAGTTGTAATAAGACACATTTCTTCGCTTCATCTGTTCGCTTAATTCGAATTCTTAGTAATATCCCGTAAAACGATGTGTACGATTCATTTCGAGTTAACAGTTGTCTCCCTTTTTAAAATATTTTTGTTGTAGATTGGCATTCCACTATTGCATACAACGGGTATAAATGAAAATCTTACACGCGTATCTTCTAATTTGGTTGGTCAAATTTATCAGCATTGATGACGCCGCATTGACGTTAAGTATGTAATTTTACATTGAATATATATCAATATTCATTCTTGGAACAGGGAAATATACGTTTTTGTTGAGGTAAGCCGCTCAAATGACAAAGACGGTGGTAACCATGGCGTTGTACCAGGGACTCTGCTGTGTCAATGATCGCACTGCAAACAACGTGGAAAGTGGAAATAAAAGCTTAAATCAACACAACACTCACAAAGAATCGTAAATCACACACTTTCTACACCTCAAATCAGATAACGAACGATCTTTACTATTGAGACCAGATAATTTTATTTTTGTCTGACCTCTGCTGTAATTATGAGGTGATAGCGGGACAGAGATGACAGAGGTCTGGGAGTGGCGATGCTTTATCTCTGGTCTTTGACAGGCTTTCTAGCAGTGTCAGTGTCTTTTACGACTACTGCATCTCAGTGTTGGAGCCGCTGGCAGATCGTGCTGGAGCGCGAAGTGCACCAGCCCTGAAATCGGAAAGTAAATCAATTGGAATTTATTGTTTTATTTCATTTTATTATTTTCTTCATCAGATACTTCCTCCAGTAAATCAGATCCAAATCGTTTGCTATTGATAGTGTCAGGCAAAGTAGCCACACATAAGGAGCATTGGGACATATCCCAACAACGTGATTATGTAACGAGTACTTTAGCGTTATCAATACAGCAAAAAATGTAAGATCTGAATCTAGGTGATAGGACGAAATGAAGCAAACATTCATGATACATGAAGTTCAAGACTTTTAAATAAGAAGAAAAAGAGAAAGAAATCCTTAGCTTAGAATTGAAATAAGATTGTCCTTTTTTGTTGCATTTTTAAACCAAATCTTGCAGTATTAGTTTAACCACAGGCAGGTGACACAACATTCGTCAACTCTATACAGGATGGTTTCAGAGTCGTATTTAACTCTTGGTACCGACAAACTTTGCAATCACACATAACTACAAGCACGTTGCTTTAACAGACAACTGTAATTACACTGAACCGTATAATTAGAGACATGCTGAAGTATCACGAGGAGTAAATATGTAGCTTTATATCTCGACTTATTTTCACAACTGTGCCATTGATATAATGTTGTTTAATCGGTAGTCGTATATTCTGCTTCGTTGTTCAAATAAATAAAATTAAATTAAAAAAATATTATTCAAGAAGGACCCACCTGCTAATGCAGATTGAAAGCCACTGTTATAATCACAAGCCACTTCGTTCTTGACATAGTCCTTCCGGTCATCAGTGTAGTCGTCATGATGACCTGGACCCCCTACCAGGGCTCCATAAAGGATGTGCGGGTTCGGAGCATGAGAATTGAATGCATCCCAGTCACATGTAGCCGGAGGGCTCGGACACGAACTACAACATACATGTATACACTTTATCTTAGCTGAATCAACACACCAAACAGACATATACTTTGACAAAGCTGACTTTAATGAACTACATTGTACGTATACACTGCCATATTGAAACAATGCAACCACTATAGAAATAGGTGACTCTAACAAACAATGTTACAAACACAACCACATAATAAATATGCAAAATACTCCTCTTCCGCAAAAAATAAATAAAATAAAAATATAGTAACAAATTGTTCACCAGGCATGTATATTTCGATAAAACCCCACCAAAATAACAGGCAAACAAAATGTCATTGTTTATCAAAATGTTAAATGATAGGCAAATAAATATCCTAAAATTATAAGATTAGATCCTATGAATGTAAGGACACAGTGACAAACCCGTATGATAAAACATTATTGTTATTATCTGAAAATTCGAATTGAGTCATACCAATGGAAGATGATTTTTTTGAATCAGTTTCTTCAATAATATTCGGACTATTGGACAAGAAAAATCAAATCGCATGAAATTCTCGAACGTCTTTGTATTGCCTAGATGTGTAGAAGAATAAGTTGTTTATAAAAATAAACAAATTACTATCAATACGCATCTACGATGTTGATATCAGTAAGCTGTTTGTTTTGAGATCTGATTACCATAAACAAAACATTAAAAACAAACTTATGAAAGTAACAACAAGTCAATCAGGATTAGGTTGGACTTGCATTGTCAACCTTCAAAAGTAATATGGTAAAACATGTAGGAATGACCAATACACTAATTCAGACCTGAAAATCGAAACAAGAAATAGCAATCATAATTCAAGAGTCGCCAAAACAAAGAAAACACCGAAGGTGTTCCTCAACGATAAATATTTCTTGCAACTTAGACAGGTATATCCCACGAAATACCCATTGCAGGATTTGTCTATCTCGTCCGATTTTGTCTAGCATCTTTATGTTACATTTTGCAGAATTTTATTCATCCGCGCGATAACCTCAAATTGTCAATCTGTATTTTAAATATTCTATTTTGTCGTTATATGCATTGTTGTAGAAAATATAATCTTCACTGTGAAATAAATTGTTTTCTTTGCAAGGACGAACTATATTTTATAGCGGAAGCAATCAAACGCAGCTTTAGTAGTGAATAGGACATATGTATTCGAGGCCCCAGGTGGGATACTTGCAGACTTAAGCAAAATAGAACAGGTTTTCTTTTACTAAAAAGTGCAAAAAAACCACAACCAATTACCTGTAACTGAGCAAGATCAGGTTATATCAGTCTCGTGCGAAGATTCTGTTACCTCCCAACCACGGCCAACGCATCGGTTTGGATCGTGTTACAAAATCCTAGCCCTCGACTGAGATAACCCGATCTTACTCAGTTACAGGTAATGTATTTTATAACTCTCAGAACACATGCGACTCCCATATATCTCAAGTAATATCAAGTCTGTAGGTCACTAACGATCCAAGGACAAAGGGAACATGTCTTTGACCATGGCAGACACAGAAATAGCATATGTATGACAATATTTGCTTATTTGACTGGTCGAAATGTACCGCGAGTGTCTATATCATACTGTAGATTTACCCATTAAGCTCTACTGTTCTTAATATCAAACCATATGGTCCTTATATTTCTACCAATCACATTATTGCAAAAATATGAAATATCATTATAAAAAGCAATGCGTGATATAACCCGTAGTTAAAATGTGTTTCTGAATGAACTGTATTCAAGCTTTGTTTAAGTAATTTCGGAATATAAATGATGCTTTTTGTATCCTAACTGCTTATTATAGTTTGATTTCTATCGTGGCATTCGCAAGACATCAACTTTAATAACACTTGAAATTGCCTGAATGCGCAGCAAAACAAAATGTCTTCATAATTGCTACTGACCTATATCTATAAAATCAATACTATTTTCAATCTGGATTGCAGTCTGTACTTTTATCTTCTCATCAAACACACACGACGAGGTATCTGTTTAATACAGACTACAATCTTAATCAAAATGCAATCTCATAGCTTCAGTTTAAATCTAAACAACGTATATAATTATCATGGTCGTAATAACCAAATTGTTTTTGTTATAGGACTGAGCGTTCTGATTCTCCAAATTGATCACAATCCTAATATTCAATTAGGAAATTTCGAAACTGATTCTTGTCTAAAAAATAAATGTACCTAGGGCAGAATATCCTGTCATCTCAATTCTACTCTAGTCTGAATGACCTGGATTGTGCACAACTGTGGAGCTTAATGTTTAATGATGGGAAACCTTTTTCATAGATAGATATATGTGTTTCTCAACTTCCATCCCCATAGGTTAAAGCTTAAATCGTACTGCCAATGATTAAACAAAGAGTTTATATTTACGTAAATATACATTGGTTTACAAAGCATATATATGTGCCATCATGGTGTTTATCTATATTATTGATAATCGAGGAAAAAAATAATCGATTCTAATCATGAAAAATGGAAAGAGAATTGGCTCTCGAGGGAGGTTCTTTGTCGTATCCTCAATATGAGGAAAGTTTCTATTTTCCTGTCAGTGCCCACGGCAGGTAAAAACTAATCAAACTGTAGGAAATGTCAAAATTAGTTAAGCTTGATCGAATGTAATAATATATTAACGTTCCATAGATTACGCCTAACTACTTGGAATGTAAGCAAACGGTCTTAAAGTGGCATCCGTCCAAAACATTGTTCACCTAACGAACCAGAGACGACATCAATTTACAACATTGTAAAATTACGACCTCAATAAGGTTACCAACCACAACATTGCAGAGCAAACAATCTGAAGACGACTCCCATTTGCATTAACTGAAAGCTAACTGACCAACGACGGTATCCGTTAACATCATTTGAGAGGCTACAGTCTGCTGACAAAGTCAATCGACCAGAACGTACAAATAACAGTCTGATGATGGTATCGATCTTCAATATATAATTGTTTCCTGAGTCCCTGATATGCTGGCGTATATTTCTAACGCTTAACGTGCAATGGTTCTTACTTTTCAACTTGGTACGCAAGTATAGACTGCTCTGGTTTGGTAATATGAGCGTGTGCCATGTTCAGTGGAACAGACAACCACCCCAAAGCATCAATCAGTAAAATAGCACCTTACCAGCAAGAAACTACTAAAATGACAACATAACCCGTAAACTTAACTCAAAATCGATGAAATAAGGACAAAATATGGATAAAAGAGATATGCAAAAGAAGACTCTTGAAAACGTACAAGGAGAATAAAACCTGGAGTTTTGAGGGATAAGCGTCTCTTCCTTTACCGACGACACTCTCCATGTTAATCTAGGCCTAATCCAAGTAATGCTACGTTCTTAAAACATAACATTTGGTAGCAAGAACAAAATTTCGGGTCACAAAAAATCATACCAAAAACCAGCGACCTTCCTATTACACAAAGAAATGAAATCGTTACGGTAACCATAAAACTTGCCAATAATCTTCGTGATGTTTTTGTTTATCCGTCAGTATTCTATCATGAAAATCATAATTATTTAGAACAAGCTCCTGAATACGGATTCGAATATGACATGTAACCAAAAAAGGTTGGAGAAACTGTAATGAAAGGGTTAAGAATCATGGCATTACCTTAATAGCCAATTTATACCTTAATAGCCAATTAACACCTTAATAGCCTATTAATACCTTAATAGCCTAGTAATACCTTAATAGCCTAGTAATACCTTAATAGCCAATTAATACCTTAATAGACAATTTATTCAAATAGTGGGTTCCTTTCGATAATATATCCTTAATTTAAAACTTTTGATGTCCTCATATTACAATTCCCTTGTGTCACAATAACAGAAAATAAAAGCACATAAAAAGTGATACCAGGTTAACCTAACAAAAAATATTCTCATCTTCTAGTCTAAAAATATATAAAACAAAATTCAGTTTATTGAAGTTTTTGGGCACCAGTCAATTTCATTTTTTGATTTCATTTTTTATAGAAATTCCCTTTTTTCAATTAAAAAACAAATTATGCAATTTAGATGATAACTTGATGAACAAGAAACAAGAAAACGTTTACTAGCTTAGCCACTATTACATGATTAAACGCACAGTCATGTGCTGAATAGAGACTGCAGCGGTGTTTAAACACTTGTTTGTTATATACAGCAGTCTTTACTTTCAGATACTGGACATGTTATTTGATAAACATAAGGACCAAAGAGGGTTTGTTCATGATAAATATTGAATCCCAGTTACTTTGATTAAAAAGAATACTATTAATTTTGTCTGGTAGAGAGTCGGTCTTACCGATCCCTGTTTCTGATACAGAATAGATAGGGATGCTACTGTGTAATTGAAGCAGGGTCTTTCAAGCTAGACAATATGAACACAGTCGGAAGTACCGTGATGTAGTGTACAATGAATCCGGCAGATTACACACAGTAGTTCTATCACAATTAATCACAGACGAGTTATAGGGTCTCATTTGTCTTACAAACGGTTCCTCATACGACAGGGACGTATATAGACAATCAAATCTTGGAAAAAATACAAATCTCAGAAACAGATTGAAGTAAATCACTAAGGCTACAGGAAGGTTACTGATAAATCATTAGATCATTATCATGAAGAAAAGGTTAACGTTGCTAGAAAACCCCATTAAATACAACCCCGGAGGAATTCTATTGTCCATGTTTGGCGACACGCCTTAACATTATAGAGCTAAACATATAAGCTGTGTGTATACAAGATCAACTGTTCGCAAAAGTAACCAAAACATGAAACGCCAATGTTCACCAGAACGCCGTTATTGAAATTCAAATACAAACAACACATTTTCGTGCGTTATTCGTGCATTGTGAGATTGTGTCCTAAAGAGTATTGATAGATAAAAAAATGTTAATGAAAACAATAGAAACATCTACTATCGAAGATATGTTATTTATTATCAGAGCGATGATAATCTATTGCTGTTGTTTTGACCTGTAGATGTTTACACAGGTTTGATG